CTCCAAGGCCACAGTCCAAAGCCCCACCAAATAACTGAGCATCACCAAAAGTTTAACCACTTCAGTTCAGGCGCTTGGGATGCAGCTCAGGCGCATCCCGATAAAGATCCCATGCTCACACCTCCCTACCTGTGTGGGTCTTTTGGAATCTCCTTCAAGGAGCACTGTGTCAGACTATGAAACCCGGTGTTGATGGTAATGTGCAAAGCAGCCTGGATTCCCCAGCCACCCACACAATGAGGAGACACTCACTTTACCAAATGTTTGTGAAAGCTGAAGCAGATTTTGGAATACGCCTCATCAATGAGGCCCTGGCACTTTACTCAATACTGAGGCATTCAATGAATTTCCAGCTATGAGGATTGGGAAGCAGATGACAGTACAGCTCTTAACAACATTGCCACCTCAGAGCTGAAAATCCTCCCGCCGGTCCCGTCATCCCTGGGGCGTAACGACCACCAGGACCGGACAGGACTTTTCATTTTGACACATCAACTCTTTTCCCAGCTGGAGCCATCCCTGCTAAGCAGCCGTGCTCCCTTCCCCGTGTCCCCAAGTGCTGAGCACGCTTCCCTCAGCCCGGCTCAGCCCCTGGCTCTCAGATAGGCTGGAAAACCAGCGCTCACATGGCACTGCAGGCCACCACCACCACGCTGGCTCCTCCTGACTGGAAGTCTCCTTCATGAAGGTGGCCGTGCCATTTAACCCAGCACTAAGGCAGTTTAGGAAACCTGGTCTAGATTAGAGTACTAGAAACAGGAGTAGTGTCTCCCCCCTCCAGGAGAAAAAAAAAAAATCAGGCTCTGCCAACTGTGTGATGGCAAATATGGACTGAATCGTTGACATGGAAACCGGACTAAAGTCAGCGCTGCCTCAGCTCGCACACACACAAGTTATCATTATCCCCAGCCTTTCCCTGGCTACAAACACGGACTGGATTTGTGGCTGCGGGAATTGGGTGCAGCTTCTCCAATAAAGTATTAACTGAGCACAACTAAGCCAGAGCGAAACGAGCTGAGGAGGAATTAATGTAGTTGGGCGAAGGAGGATGCTCTTCCATTTCACTGAGAGAGGCACAGCGTGCTGAGATGTGCAGACTGGACCCAAGAACACCAGACCCATCTATTATAATTCATGGAGCACGCTGCAAAAAATGGGATGGAGCGAGGAAAGGTTATTGGTTGTACCTCAGCTTATCTGAGAGGGGGTTTGCTAAAGAAAATTGCATTTCCTGTAAATATGTTTATATTTGCCCAGCCCATTCCTTGCAGTGTTTTAGCCACTGTCGTATCTAGGTTAAACGCTCCCATTGTGGCTTCATCACCACAAAAGATAAATATTATTTGAATTATTTGTTTGCTGGCCATCGTGCGAGGCAACGCTTACTTATCCACCTAAAAATAATGTTACAGTATTGTATAACCTCCCTTTTTTGGGGAGACACAATGGGTCTGCGCTGCGAGTTCCAGCCGAGGGTAACTCTGTCCCTTCTGCTGAACGCAGCAGCTCAAAGGCAGGCGTGGATTTTCCAGGGCTTTTGCTGCTTCCCACGCCAGTTTTTCCGCGGGCAGGGAGCGAGCCCCCGGCTCGGCCGCTCAGCGAGAGCCCGCTGGTGACATCTGACAGCGAGCTGCGAAACTTTGGATGCATTTTAAGGCAGGAAAAGTGGACTCGGCCTGACTCGAGGAAATGCATTATTTTAGCAGCGCTGGCGAGGAGGAGGAAAAAGCGAAGCGGAGTTTGCGGAGGGGAAGGGACGCGGGAGCGCAGCCACCCCCCCCGCACCCTGCGCGACCCCCGGGGGCGGCCGGGGCTTGTGTCACGCGTGTCCCACCCCCCATCTCCCACCCCAAACACCCCCGGGGGGGGGGGGAAGAGGGGCAGCCGCAAGTTTTGGGGCACGTGTGTGCGGATTCGGGGAGCGGCGCTCGCCCAGCAGCGAAAATGAGGCTGGAGGTGGAATTTAGTCGTTCCAGGGAAAACTGAGGGGTATCGGGAAGGGAAGGAAAAGAGTAATGAAGTGCGGGGAAAGAGCGAACCCCTTTTATTTTATACACGGGGGCGCACCCCGGCCGCCCTCGGACACCAGCGCTCCGGTGCGCTCGGGGAAGGAAGAGTAAATCTACTTAAAAAAAAAAAAGAAAAAAAAAAAGACAAAAATCAAAACGCGGACCGGAGTTTGCAAAAACCCCTGCACTGGATCCGGAGCCAGCCGTCTGGTTTCCCTGAATCCCACCAGATTTGGGAGCTCTCGGGTGGGCTGGAGGAGCAGCCGCGTTCGGCTGCGAACCCCACTGTGAAGAGTTAAAAACGGGGGAAAAAAAAAAAAGGAGCTTTTAAAGCTGCGAAAAGAGAAAGATCTCAACTCTGGGCCTGGATTTTCCCACCGAAGGAAAACTATTATTGTGTTCCAAGTCCTCGGGACCTGGCGATGCCGTGCGGGAGGGGACAGCAGCAGGTTCTCCTGCCTGGAAAAAGCTGTCCCTCGGCCTTTCCCCCACCTCGGCGCCTCTTTTCAGTGTGGGGAGGGGTAAAAAAATACATCCACTCCCGTGAAATTCTGCCCTCCTAAAGTGTATTTTTAGAGAAGTTTGAGTTCAGGCGTCACGAATGGTGTGTGGTGGGGGGGGTTGCTGCGGGAGATGCAGGCGCTGAGAAAGAAGGTTTTTTCCCCCTTTTCATCAAGCTCTTGCACTGCCATTTTCCCGAGGCAGGGAGGGAGCGAGGGAGGGAGAGCGGAGCGACAGACAGCGCTGGCGAGGAAGTTTCTCACGGCAACTGCGGGCTGGATCGGGAACGGAGCCTTTTGTTCCCGGCAAGTTCAGCAGGAGAGAGAGTTGGAGTCTGCTGAAGAGAAAAACCAGCGGAGAAATAAAATGGAGGGAAGTAGGAAGAGAGGAGAGAGAGCTGGTGCTGAGCTGAGATTAACTGCAGAGCACCGAGCTCGGGTGTGCGCGGCAGCTCGGCATTTATTTAGAAAGTTGGTGTGGTAGCCTGAGGCAGAAATCCCTCGTTAAGTGCATGGGAATGAGTGAGAGACCCAAGGACACGCAGTGCTGGGCAGGAAGTGGAATTTTCCAAGGGGTTCACATCCTTCGGTGCTCTTTTTGCCAAGATTTGATCTCCTTGCTCGATGAAGGCTGCCTCCTAGAGACATCAGGGAAAAGGCCTTAAAGATGTGGCGTGCTCTGGGTCTGTTTAAGCTGAATAATTAAAAGTAGGGGGCACCTTCCCGCAGAGATTGCAGCGAGGTCTGAAGACCAGATTCAATCTTGGGTACGGCCCTGCCTCCTCTCCCTTTCCCTTTCTCCCCAGTGAGTGTTGAAACACGGTGCATTTGTGCCCATGATCTCTGAACGGGGTGAAAAGTCACCTAAAAAACAGGCTCCCCCTCCCATTTAATGCTTATACACACACCCAGTACACCCTACATTCACATCCACAATTGCCTTTGTCTCCCTGTACACGCTGCTAATCCTTCACCCCAAACCACACGTGCTCTTTGCATGTGTGCAGACCCAGAATGTGAAATAAACTTGTCTGAATTAACCCCCAAATCGCTGACAAACATCCATCCTTTTAGCAGGCACCCAGGAAGGTGGGGCAGAACTTTAATCCCCTCGTTATTTCTACGCTTGGTGGTGGAATCAAAAAGCAAGAGCCTGGTCATGAGCAGAGTGAGTTTTTCAGAGCAAGTTTGGGGGTTTAATGCGGTGTCCCGAAAATACAGTTCGATTAAAAATGTTCATCACCTTCTGCCTTCCCGGCAGGGCAGGGCAGGGCAGGGCAGAAGCTCCTTCTCCCGGCGTGGCGGTGACAGCGGCTCAGCGAGACACCACGTGGGAAAGCCGGGTTCGGGATTTAAACGTGCTTTTCCACTCCGGCCATGAGGGAGGGAGAGCCTCAGCTGGGGAGGGGGGGGAAATAAATAAATAATGAAAAAAGCCTTTTCGTGGTGCTCAGAAGCGACCTCTGTGGCTGCCGGGGACTGAAGTTCAAGAGCCCTGGGCTGGGAGCGCGGGGGAAATGCGGCTCGGGAAAATCCAACAGGAGCAGGAATGGAAAGGGGGGTGGGGGGTGACGGGACCCCCCGCCCCGGGAGGCGCAGCGGGCTGGGAAGCGCCGTCCTCGCTCCCATCCCTGCCATCGGAACCGGCTCCGGGGCGGCCGTGGGGGAGCACGAGGAGCTCCGAGGGTGGGGGGACACAGTTCCCGAGCCTCTGCTCGGTCCCCCGGTGTCCCCAGGACCCTTCGCTGCATTTCCACGGCCACCGGTGGCCAAGCCCCGGGGCCGGCGGGGGGTGCCCGGAGGAGCCCCCCGAGAGCGGCCCCAGTCCCGCAGCACCGACCCCACCGACCGGGAGTGGGGGGTGTCCGGGATGGGGCGGGGGATCGGGGGGGCACCGGCGGTGTCACCGCCCTGCCCGTCCACCGGGATGCTCCAGGGAGCCGCCTCGCACCGGGACCTCTGCGGGCCTGGGAAAGTTGAATAGGGAAACGTCAGAAAGCATCAGGCAGGAATTTCAGTGCATCCCGTGTTTTATGGTGGTGTGAACTTTTGCATATCGGGAGTAATTAGCAGCGAGGCTGTTAAAAGCAGATTTAAATACACCACCCCCCCTCCCTCCTCCCTCCCCCCCCCCCCCCTTTCTTTCCCGGTCCAAAATGGTCCAAATCCGGTTTACCTCTGACACAACCCCCACCGGGACAGAGGTGAGAGCACAAACCCCACGGTTTGTCCATGTAAGCAGGAAAACACATTAAAACCCACATATTAATTAACACGTCAATTAAAATAAATATAATTTTGCTACGGTTATTTTTGGTTCTTCCTCCCCCCCAACTTTGTTTTACTAAAGCGGGGAAACATATACAGAAACCTTCCTTGCAGTAGATGCCTTTTTCTTTTTTTTTTTAAACGGAGCCCAGATGCTGGTCAGGATTAAGGTTACACCAAACACATTCTACATTGCCATTTTCCAAACAGAATAAAGCAGATGGAAAAGATGGAAGAGGATAAAGCAGGAACGGAGCAGCACTGAAAACTGCAAGCCCTGCACTAACGCTGGAGAGGAGTGAGCTGGGATGCCAGGAGAGGCAGAAAGAAAGAATCCAGGCGTAGCAACGCTGCATATCACATTGCTCACGGTTAAAATGAGTATCTTTAATTAAACAGCTGTCAGAATTTGGGCTTTAAACCTTATATTTAAAATGGGAAAAGGAAATTCAGCTGCAGCCATACGCTGTGTCTCCTTAGGGCTCAGTCCTAGAAGATATGAAAGCCACTGGCTGGGGGCCATCAGAGTACTTAAGTCTCTGTGTAATTTTAAACATCAGCAGTCCCAGTGATTTTAAGGATATACTCCCTTAAAGTTAGCCATGGACTCAGCACTTTGCAGGATCCGCCCAGCAGACTCATAGCAGCTCAGAGCTGGAGAACATGAGTATCTGCACATCTGAGAAACAAAGAAAATCTTCTTTTCAGCAGGCTAAAGATTTTTCTTTTATTTCTAAAGGACACCAGTTCATCCATACTGGGAACTTGGATCAAACTGGAATAAAATCTTGAAGGGGAGTTCACCAAATCCATGCTGCTTTGTAAAATACCACCATGTGGCAAACCCAAATTTTAGGTGAAATTCTGCAGTGGTGTCGTTTACTCAGCACTGTGACTCAATCCCATGATGTGCTTTGAAAATCTTGTGCAAAACCTGATTTTAAGATGTTTTGTTGGTATTATATAGGCACACCCACGATCCAGAGAAAGAACACGCAAACTATTAAATATTCATGCTATGGGGAGAACACTTAGTAGCGTCCCTTCGTTCCAGCTGTACAAAGGCAGGCACAAATAACTGGTGGAAAAACGAGTAAACCAAACCAATCCCAATATTCCACTTAAACAAGGTGTTGAGCAGCTTGGAAACATTTGCTCATGGAAGGGTTCAGAGAGAAATCCTGATTATCTGCCTTTCAGCAGCCACCCATAAATGTGTATTTCACAATCTGAATTCTGTAATCAACTCACATGGGGAGCATTAGGAATTCACATTCACACGGGGGTCGGTGTGTGGGGATGGGACTGATTTTCTGCTTGAGGCCTCCACCCCATCGGCCTCAAATGCACGCGGCCTCTAAGTCAGGTTCTGAATGTCACAAGTTGGTACCTCAGTGACATTTACTTAGAAACAAAAAAATTCAAACACATTCTGACCAGCTTGGCTGGAACTTTCAGACTTCAGCTGTGGGACTGTGAAACAAGGTCATTTTTATCTATCAGTTATCTCTGACTTGAGAGGGGCCCGTGATCACACCTTGGCAATAGCTCTGCTTATAAAGGCTGGGCATGGCACATGAATTTTCAGTAAAACCAAGGCATTGGTCAGAACTTCCTCTGTAAAACATGCTGAAGAATCATAAAAAAAATACATAATTTTCAAATATTTGGAAAAATATTGAGTATATCTGGCAAACCCCTGAAAAAACACCACCAAAAAAACACCCCAAATCCAAACATTTAATTAGATAGAATTGGGTACCTGAGTGAAACCTGCTCAGAAAGATTCCTGTTCAGTTTAGCTGTTAGAAAAGAGTGGAATGAACTACATCACAAAACAAAGTATTTAAAAATATGACTTTTCCCCAGCTGCAGGAAACATAGTGACTGACCTCGGTTTTCCCGTGCCATGGGTTCATGAGGGCACTGAGAGCACTGGAGCCTTCCCTACGTAATCCTGACCCTCTGGATTCACTGTCTTCCTATTGTTTTGTTTACTTTGTCTATTCTTAGAGTGTATTTTGTTCAGGACTACCTCAGGCACGAGTGCAGAGTCCCCAGCACACTTCATTTTCTGTTTAAATAAAGCTGAAGCAGCACAAGGAACAGAACTTCTGCATGTCAGTGATCAGCCACTGGTACTTATCAACAGTCCCACAGGATAACGGAGCCCTGGATCCAGCTATCATTGCTTAAGAACCTTCTCATTATCATTATTTTTTTAAGAACTTTGCAATTCATTGCTTTTTCCTGCATCCATAGTCGTGACAAAGAATCTTTCTTTAAAAAGGCAAAAATACCGAACAAAAAAACCCACTAACAAGCAAAATCCAACCAAAATACGAAGCCTTATAGTTGAGTTGTGATGCAAATGAGTGGATTTTTTTTTCTACCACTTCCAGAAGTACAAAAATAATCAAAAATTGGCATCCTATTATGGGGAGAAAGGAGAAAAAAACACCCCAAAATCAATACAAATACCTAGAAAGTAAGTCCAGACAACTGGAGGCTAATTAACCTGACCTCAGCAAGATGCAAAATGTAAATTATTTTTCCTCTGGAGGGGGCAAAGATGTAGAGGAAAGTAAAGAGATAAAATGCAAAAAAAAAAAGGTTTAACACAGACAATCATGCTAGACAAAGCTGATGTCTGTCTTTGATAAGGAAGCAGATTTTTCTGGGTAAAGGAAGACACAGTTGATCTCACAGCCCCCAAAATCAGTAAAGTGTTTGGTCTGGTGCAACATCTGAAAAAACAAGTTAAATTGGAAAATAGGAAGATTAGTGCAAGAAAAGTTTTCTGGGTAAAAAATTACTAAAAATCCAGCGCTGGGTTGTGCTGAAATGGGAACTTCTGGGCTAAAGATTGAGTGCTTTGAAAGCTTCTACTCTCAGATCTGGTGCTATGATTGGCTTTAAGTGACACAAGGAATTGGAGAAAGAGTGTTAGTACAGATAGTTACTGACAAATTCAAAAAGCATCGATGCAGAGGACTGGAATATCCTAAATGAAGAACTGGATGAGGTTCTGGAACAGCACAGGAATCCTGAGGAATGGACTGGTGGAATGCAGTAATAAGATTAATGCAAATCACAAGGCTGTTCACACAGGGACTGACAGCCAAAACTCTTGTAAACTGGGAATTCATCACAGTTAACAGGGAAGGATGAAGACTCAGAAGCGTTATTTAGTCACAGGAATGAAGATGACAGGTGAGATCTGAAGACCAGGTAAGGCACATCCAGATGTTACGGCTCTCTTACAGAATTTTGGGTGCAGCTTCTAGTTGAGAATGACATGTGAAAGCTGGAACAGTCACAGAAAAGGCTCCCTGAGCTGGTTATGAGAGCAGAGAATCTGTCAGGAGAGAAGACTGAAGCCTCACTTCAGCAAACTCCAACAAAAGAAAGGGAAGAGAGGCCAGGGTGAGTCCGTATCCATAGGTTATGGCTTGAACACAGGTATTTAAACTCAAGGGTTATGTTGGCACCAAATATATGTCTAAAGGCCTGAGTACAATTAAGCTGATTGCTAGAATAGAACGTCTTATTATTAGAAAAACTAGTTTTTTTTAGGAGAATCCTTCCAGTGGGGCTCTCAGGCTGGAAGGGATTTACTGTTTTTATGCTGGAGGTTGATGTCCTTATGGATGAAGTGGGATACAATTTCCTCAAAATCCTGGTGTGAGGCAGCCAACAGAGACTCCTCAAGCCCAGTGTTAGGAAACTCCAAATTAGAAGAAATAACCAGCAGCAGCAGCCCCTCTGGAAGCTCTTCTGCAACCTGGTGAAGAAGATATTCACAATTAATTTACTGGGGCTGGTTGGAAATTGGTTAATTGTCACTCTGGAACATACAGATACAGTGGAGAACTTTGAAAGTTTTGCCATTAATTTCCCTACTTTGCATCAGTGAAATGAGAGGAAAACCTCTGCAATATTATGAAGAAACATGTATGGTGGTTAAAAAGTATTCAGACACTATAGTGATAAGCACAATGAAAATCCATTACAATTAGTAATTCTGTATTTACTGCAGCACTTGAATTACATGCAATAAATAAAATATGGAAGCAAACATCAAATAACAAGGATAAAAGAAAACTCTGAATGAGACGAGTTTGAGAAGGCAGGTTGTATGATTTAATTTATAATTAGGGACTGCATCACAGTGCAAGGAACTGGATTAGGATGGGCAAAAGTGTAAGGAATGTACACAGGAAAATTGAACACACCAGTCAGTTCCCTGGTAAATTCATCCGGGTCACAGGAGCGTGAAGAAACACGGAACACAGAGAGAATTAATGTGGGCCCTGGAGTAGGGACCAGCTCAGCACATTCCCTGTGTCAGACAGTGCTTGGAGAACTAAGCAGTGATCCTTGTGGAGCTGAGCCTGCTCACACTGTCACCTCAGGAACGAGGGGTCCTCTGCCTCTGCAGGGAACTGTTGGAAAACCAGGACTTTCTGAGAGTACAGCTTTCCAAAAATCCCAAAGGGCTGCACCTTCCAGAAGCTCACACCACAGGTCTGGCTTTTCTAAGGGTTCTTTGTTTCTGTCATAAATAACACTCCAGGAATATGGATCAACTGTGTCTTCCATCTCAGGTCTCTTCATCTCTCCACACAAGACATACCTGCTTTGGCAATATAGCAACAAACCATGGCTGCCCTTCTTGGGATCTCCTGTTCTTAACTGTCTGACCGTGATTTCAAACACATAGTGTTCCATGCTGGCAAAGGCTCCTTCCTTGGGTCTGCCACCTCTTCATCTTTCTGCAAACAATAACACACACTAGCACAGAGCCAGAAAGCATCTTCTCTTTTGAGGTTTTCCTTTTTTCTTTCCTTTTTCTTCAATTTTTCTCAGTGTTCTCACCAGAGGACACCTCACAGCCACCAATTGTATCTTCACGTCATCAATGTTTGGGAGCAAACCAGGATCCCAGAACTTTTCTGTTGTTGTTTTCTTCTTTCTTCAAATGCCTTTCAGATTTAATTCTGGTTCATCTCACCTCTAGGGACTCTATTATTTTTAAAAAGGGCCATTAACTAATTATTCTGCTTGTCTTGTTAATGAGAGAGTGAAACATTTAGCAAGAAAATGATAATCTAAGACTCGTGTTCTCTCCCATTTGCAAACAAACACTCCCTTTCCATCTCAGAACTTTTAGGACATTAACACTTTCTCAGTAATAATAACACAAAACATATTATAATTTTCATCCAATATTGAAAATTAATATTATCTCACAATTATGTCACAATTCTACTTCCCTTGGCAGGCTGACACACTTGGAGTTCACAAGAACAGTGCATTTGAAAAGCCTCCTCAGCTCCTTGTTTTCAGGGATGGCATTTTCAGTGGAGTTTTTTTTTTGTAGCCAAGGATCCAGACACAGGCCTGGATGAGGAGGGGAGCAACTGGCTGGGCAGACAGTGGTTATAATGGACCACAAACTGAATTTGAGTCAGCACAATAAAGATAATACATCACAGAAATATTTAATAAAGCTGCTTTACGTAGGACACCCCTGACAATTATCTTGCTGAACTCAGTGAAATCTCAGCTGGAATATTCTACCCGTTTTCAGGTACCACATAAGAAAATAAAAGCAGATACAAAGCAACTGGAAAGAGCACAAAGAGAGCAGCAAGAATGCTGGGAGGCTGAGGAAATCTAACCTTCAAGAACAAAATGAAATGCTGGATTTGCTTAATCAATTAGGGAAAAAAAAAAGGAAGGAAAAAAGAGAGAGCTCATGGGAAGGGATGAAATTCTAATAGTCCATTTTGTCAGCAGCCAAATGTTCATGTCCACTGGAAATAAAGAGGTAATATTCTTAATTCACAGTGAGATTTGGTAAAGTAACAAAAGTGAGGTTTGAACAATGAGAACACTGTATGGGAAGTTGTAGAAAACCCTGCATTGCTGATTTCTTTAAGGCCAGAATACACAAACATCTGTATGGGATACAGACAGGCATCTCTCTTATCTCAGAGTGGGATGGGAGCTAAGGATCTCCTGATGGCTCCATGACAGATATATTTGTTATTATAGCAAATACAGGAAGAAAAATACTGGTGGGAAAGGAATGTCTCAATTAGAAAAGTGGACTTTGAGATGAAGAACACATGATTTTGGGCCCCTGTCACAGGCTGTCACTTCAGGAAGTTACCTGGAGGACTTCTTCCAACTGCCAGCTCCAGAGAGCTGAGGGAGTGTGTTAAGCACATCCCTTAGGCAAACACACAGACATGCTGAGTTTAAAGTTTACAAGCCATTTCACATTAAATATTTCTTGTTTTATTAGTTCAATTTTGCCAAGTCAAACTACTTTGATAGTTCTGTTGCAGATCTCCACTGAGCTCCACCTCAGCCCACAGTAGCATGACATCACCTAACAGTGATTGTGAATTAAGTCAAACACTGTTTCTTTTATTAAATTGCTATGTTACCTCATATTTGTAAAATCCTAATGCAGTTTTTCCTTAAAAAAAGGCTGTTTTGCAGAGGCTTTTTCACTGGATGTCCGTAACACTGAAAGTATCTTTCCATTCCTTGCTTCCACACGCCTTGCCACAGCTTTCCCTGCCTCTGGCAGACCTTTGCACACAACAGGGCAAGCTCAAGTTTCTAACAAGTTTGTGTGATGCCATTCTACACCCATTCCATGGTAAATCACCTCCAATGATGAGCAAGGCCCTGTGCACCCATTAAGGAGTTGTTCTCTGTGTTCATAAATCCTTTATCCTGGCCCAGGAGGCCATGCTTATTCCTTGAAGCTCCATGTTTTGTTCTTGGACTGTGCTTGGGAAAAAATGCAGGTAATTTCTTATGCCAAGCAGAGAAGATCAGATATATACATTAAAAGAGGTCCCATGACAATATCCCTGACAAAACTGGTAGTTTTCTGTTGGAATTAATCAGAAATCTGCTCTTCCACAGGTGGCAATGGGCTCCTGCATGTTAAGGGAAGTTTTGGGTTGTGTCCTGCCCCTGCAGCTGAGCTCACAAGGGTTTCTAGGAATGCAATTTTGTCATCCTGACGTTTGGCTGCCGCTCCTGGCCATCCCAGCTCTGCACCAGTGCCCTGTGCTATCAGTCCCTGCTAACAGGCTACACCCAGGAACACCACTGGGGAAACTGCTCCTGATGAATCCCGTACAGGAGGAGCAGGTTGATGACATCTCACTGTTTCTCTTTCTGCATTTCTTCTATTAACAAAGCAGCAAAAGCTCTGTGAGGCCAAAGAACTAAACCTTTCCACCTGTGCAACCTCACAGGAATATGCATTGTAAGGGATCTCCCAAGTTTCTTCTTCGTGCAGCATTTTGAAAAAGAAGTTGCACAGGCAAAAAGAAACAAACAAACAACCCAACAAACAAACCCAACGGATGCCAGGAGAAAAGGAATAGTCGTTTGTCAGGTTGACCCACAGAATCCTCAGATTCCCGAGAATTCCCTGTCAACACGTTGTGAAAAGTAACATCCAGCTGAGCAGCAGAACACCACTCCATGGGATAACTGCTGGGAATATCTTGAGAGGTAAATTAATACAAGAAAGAACCAAGCACCGTGCACCCGATTAACAGTGAAAATACCTGAAATCAGCATAACAAAGTAGGGTGAGTGCACTTGTGCTCAGGATGGTTAAACAGCTGTAATTAGATCAAACAAACTAGATTGATGTATCATCCCTTTGTAGCTGTGGCCTCAGAAGGCAGGTCAGGAGCTAAGTTCACTAAAACAGTTTTAGTACTGCAGCTTTTATCTAACAAGGCACTGCCACACACTCACTCCAAAGTAAATACTACTCAGGAGACCTGCTGAATTCCAAAGAAAAAGAGTTTCTAGAGAAGATGGCATTCTCTAATAACAACCCGAACTTCTGTCAGTAATAAAACTCACCTAATTAATTTGATGCTATACCCTTTGGATAAACAATGCACAAAATTTTGGTTACAAATTCATTCAAGGCATTTGAAGGTCTTTCTTGAGCTGTTCCCTCCTCACTTAAAGTGCCTGCGCAGAATGGGTGAATTCTAATTTGCTTTGTTCTTTCAGAACCTTTTAATTAAATGTTAAGAAAACCATGTAGAACGACGTTGCATGAAATATGGTCACTACCTTTCAGAGAGGAGCAAAACACAAGGTAGCAGATGGTAGGAAGAGGATACATGTGAAGAAATGTAAATAGCAGGGAACCTCACCAAATCAAAGACATCAAGGCAGAACTGAAAGCGCCTGCAAGAGCCCTGGGAGAGCTGAGGAGACGAAACAACAACTGAGCTCAGAGATGTCAGCCTTTCCTTGCTCAGAAAGGACAAAACACCAACAGGAAGCTCTAATCTTGTAGAGAGAATGACCTGTTGTAACTGAGGGAGTCAAGATTGTTGTGGAGGGTCCTTAAAGTGAGTTTGGAAGGAGTGGGGGAAGCAAGGACAGGTGCCAACAAATATATTCATCAAACAGTCTCGGAATAAAAAAGAAGCCCCTTCACTACTTCAGAACTGCAAGTAATGAGGACATTAAAAAAGAACTGATAAATAACCTTGTATTGAACGAAAATGAGACGAATTGTTGAAATTGGGCAGGAGACCAAGCAAAGAGCAGCTTGGGAGGTCATCAGAAGAGTTCTAACCAGCAGAAATAGCCAGAGGGTGACTCTGGGGTTAGGAGGAGATGTAGCCTGTGTGTTACCATTGTTGGCCCAGAACCTGCACTCCAGGTCCTCTGAGTTGCTGTGGCTGCACAGATTGTTGGCTGGTAGCCCCATCTTCCATGACAGAGCCAAGTAAATTAGTGAGTAGATTACGTTGTATCTGCATATCAGAGCAGTGCCTGGATGAAGACCAAGAAGGTCTTTCTAGTATTTTGATTAAAAAAGTTATCAATAATAGACCTATTCTGTCAAATGGAAGCCACCAAACACCAGAGGATATTTAAGGGTGAAGGGAGGCACAGCTCCACAAACTTCATGGAGCCTAAATCACAACTGTTCTCATTTTGTATCTCCTCCTGCCCCAAGTTCCATTTGTCTGGGTGATTTATGAGGTGAGCTCTGGCTGTGCAAGGCTTCTCTCCTTCTGAATGGAGGAACAATTCAGATAAGAAACAAATCTCTTCTGAGTGAATAGAGGAAACTGGACTTAACCGCATTGACTAAGGTATTTATTGTACATCTAGGCCAGATGAAGCTTAGCACATTTAATACATATAAAACTGCAGAATGCTGCTGGGAAGAGCAGAAAGCAAACAAAACAGACTCATGAGTTCCTTAGTAATTTAAATTAAGCCACTAAAGTAACAGAAAAGCAAGAGCAACAGATATCTAGGAATTCCAGTGGCTGATTCCAGCCACCCACAGGAACTGAGGAGCAGTTTGGGCTCTGTGGCCCCTCTGGGACAGAAAAGCTGTGATCTCATAACCCCCAACAGGCAGCACTTTTGTTGAGTTCGTAAATTGTCCTGAGGTTCCTTGTCATGGAAGACATTGGATATAATTACAGACCAAAAAAAAAATACAACTGCAACTTACAGACCTTATCCTGAGCAAGGCACGTGTGCTTTGGTGACTCAGCAGTTCGGGAGGATCATCAACACTTTGTAGGCAGGAGCCCAATGCTAAGAGAGAAATTGCAAAAAAATAAATCCCTGTGGTATAACTTCAACTTACCAGTTCAGAAAAGACCATGTGCAGAACTCTGGAAACGCGGTGAAATCACAGAATTCAAAATTCTAAGCGTAGACCCCATCATTAAGTCATCCATTTACAATTGTTGATGGCAAATCCATCTACTCCAGATGGGGAAAGGTCACTCTCTTCTTTTTCCAGGGCAAGCCTATGAATAATTTGAGTGATTAAAGCTCAAATCAGGTGTGAAAATGAAAGATCAGGAAAACATGGAAGAGAAACCACACTCCCAAGGAGATACTCAGCTCTCATTCTGGAATCAGAAAAGGCTCCCTCCATTCCCTACTGCCACAAAATACAGGTGAGCTCGTACTTTTTTTTTTCTCCCAAAGAGTTGTCACTTTTAAAGGCACATCGAAATCTTATTTTTACTTTTTAGTTCTCCCTTCTTCCATCGGAGATGACCTAAATTTTGAGCTGAAGCACTCACAGCATCCTCGCTTGGAAGAGAAAACAACAGCGAAAAAACATCAGGCTGCGAAAAGAGGCAAAATAATAGGAGGGAAAATTACAGTGAAGACCTCCCTGAATAACTGGAGGTCACAAATGCTGCAGAAATAGATGCTGAAGTGGTGCTACCCAGAGCCAGTGGACACAAAGTGGTTGAATTTACAGAATCCTATCAGAGGGACAGGTGGGCAGGATGTGAATCGAAGCAATTCTGGGAATACCCAAGAGCTCTCAAGATTTCCCTTCAAATATATCACTGTATTCTTGGTGCAAAAAATGGCACAGATGCCAAAATCCAAGAGCCTCCTGTCACAAATAAACCCCAAACCAACCAAAACTTGAAAGCTTACAAGGAGTGTTCAAATGGAATTAAACAGCTATAGAAAGGGGTAGAGGGAATATTTTATATGCAATGGAGAAAAATGTATGGAAACACATATACAACCAGGTAACCAGCAGTAGAGACAACTGAACATTCACCCACCTCATTATTAACAAAAAAACTCCCCAAATGTACTTGCAGAAACATTTATTTTGCTTTATTTTATCATCTTAAACAGGCAACAGAAACCAAGATTATAATCTGTGCCTTTTTAAAATTCCATTCAACAGATGTTCATAAGCAGACTTGAGCCAAATTTCAGCTCCCCAAAAGGATATTCAGCCCGAGAACTTTTACAAATGGATGATAAAGTCCCGCTTTTCCCCTTGTAATCATTGCTTTTCTGGGACATCAAATCCTCTCTTAGCCTCATTACAAGTTCCCACCAGCATAAAATGTATTTTTCATTTCCATTTCCTATAGTATTGTTTTCCAAAAATGGCATTTTCCAGCACAAGACAACTCTCCTTCACTCCTTTTTTATGTCATCTCCTCAATACAAAAGGATCATCTTGGTGACAAGGCTCTGTTCTTTTAAAAAGATGAAAAAAACCCCTCAACTGGTATTAATAAATATTTACTTAATGTAAAGAAAAGGGAATTCAATAGTTAAGGATTAAAATTACAGGGGGGAAAAAAAGGTGTTTGGAAAAGCGAGGCTGTAAGAAGTTCAGTGCTGTTTATGAGAATGACTGTTCAATGGCTCCTTCTGGGACACAGTGAGATGACTTCTTTAAAAGTATGGTCTAGAAATACCCCCAAATCACAGAAATTATAAGTCACTCGAGGATTTCAGATGCAATACAAAATTAAGAAATATCAGGACACATAATGAAAATGGTGGAATGAAAACAGCATCGCCATGACCTTTTTGGGGTAAAAGGGGGAGGGGGGGGGCTGAAGTGAAAGGTTTTATTTTTACTTAATTACTCTCAGTGTTCCCTGGGGACTCCTTCCAAAGCATATTTTGCATTTGGACCTAAATGCAAGCAGGATTCAGCCTTGATCTTATTCCTTATGACAATACGTTTCTTAAATTAGAAGTCCCACAACTGGAATGTTGACACCACCGCTGGTACCTCCAGCACCTCAGAGGCTCTTCTGTGCTATCAATCTATTAACCTGGGAAGCAGAGGGGAAAACATTGTTTAAAATAAAAAATAACAATCCAGAAAATCATACTTCATAAGCCTATAGCACCTTTCATCCAAGGATTTCAATGGACGTGGAAATATGAAGTCTCAAAATACTTAAAAAAAAACCCGCCAAACCCACCCAACTTTAAGGTATTTTGAAAGGATAATGTATAAATTGAGTGAGCATCCACCTGTGATGCGATTTAAGAGTCTCCTACTGCAGCATTTCACACATATTCAATCCACCTTCTGGTTACAGCGTGCAAGTTTGTGGTATGTAGAAGGAACAGCAGAGCTGGTTAAAGATTTTCTCTTGCTTCACATACTCTGCAAGCTTCTCATTAACTCATACATGACTTTAATCAGTGCTGAAGCACACACTTCCTTCAGCATGCAGGACTGGGCTGGGGGGAAAAAAATCCTCAATAAAATATTATTGCAACCGTGAATTAGTAAAGAAAAAAAGCAACATTTTCCTAAAGTGGCTCCTGATTTTCATCTCTAAAGGGTTAAACCGACCTTCACCGATCCAGAAGAGGTAATAAAATAGAACTTTAAGGACAAAAACGCAGCACTTCAAGAGATTATTATGAAGAGCCATATTCAAGGAGACAAAACCTTATTCTTAAAGCACAGATGCTTCTAAAAACAAGAGATCGCACGTTTTTAACAGCACACTGCCAAGCGCTTATAATGAATAAGCAGAACGAGGGTGGTTTTTTTTCTCTTTTTTGTTTTTTTTTTTTTTTTTTTTTCCTTGGAGCTCAGAGGGAAGGGACATTTCATGGATGTGCTCAGAGGGAAAGGGGCATCCATGGATGTGCTGGCAGAGCCAGCTCTGCACTTCTGCAGGGGCTGTGGAGCTGGTGCCGGCTGGTAGAGGGTGTGTGTGTGTGGGTGGGGGGGGAGAAAACAAGAGTAAAGCCTGAGAAAAACCCATCAGGGCTCCTGTCCTCCCCTTTCAGCGTTAATGGGAGGGATACGAGTCCATGGGAGCTGCAGTGGGGGATGGTGCCGGCGGAGGGGGTGGGGAGAGCCGAGCGAGGCCTTACAACCATCAGCAGCTCTTGTTCTTGTTCCTTTCAGCCTTAGCAGGAGGATGTGAAGCTCATGGAGCCGGGAGCGGGATGGGGGGGGGTGGGGGGGGAGGCAGAGCCAGGATCATAGTTTAGCTTTTGTCCTCTCTGCACAGGGTTAATAGGAGGACACGAGTGTAACCGGGACAGGGGGATGGATGGGGGGGTGAGGGGTGATCGCAGCTCCCCGCGGGGTTAAGGGAGGGTGCGCTGGGGGTCCTGTGCGAAGTCAAACACCCGGGGGCGAGGGGTGGGGGAGAAACGGGGCAAACTTCCCCTCAACGTGGCGGGGCCCTGCTTATCCAGCACAACCCAGCGCCCCGTGGGGTGGGGTGAGCCCAGCGCCTTATCTGTGGGGCGCAGGGAGAGCGGCTCCCAGGGAGGGAGGGAGGGAGGGAGGGAGGGAATGAGGGGGAGGACCCAGGTGCGCTGGCACACACACGGAAGGGGGGGGGGGGGGGCGGCACAGGCGGCGCCGCTGCTGTGGGAGCCGCTCTGAGGGCGCTCAGGGCACCGCGGCGAGAGGGCGGGGGGAGCTTAGAAACGACCCCTCAACCTTCGAACAGGGGAAAGTTTCCCAAAACTTTGGCGC